TCATGTCACCGCGAGCTTGCGCTTGCTGCTCACAATTCTCCCATTCGTCAAGAGTGAGTTTTGGAGACGGACGCGTGACCTATATCAGTATAAAATGCCGTACGGTGAGGTATTGATTGTATCCTCTAGTTCGTCGTTTCGAACGTAAGCGTACCAGGCCTCGCTTCTGAGCGAGAGTTAGTCGAGGACGAAGCTGTTGGTTACGTTGGGTTCCGCAAGCAGAACATCGATCCGATTCTCGCTCACTTGTACTTGAACATGGTCGCTCAACATTCTCGAGCGTGCAGGTCTCACAAACCCAGACGCATCGATACCCAGACTTTGAAACGCTTCCACTGCTCTCAATTTGCTATGGCAATCTTCAGAATTTATCACACCTGTGAGCAAAAGATTACGCCTACTGTTCGCTTTCGGGGTCTTCTCGGACGAGCGTGCAAGTCCAGTGTAATAGATCGTGCTAGATGATCCTGATCATTAAAGCGTCAGCAGAAGGCATCGTTATAAATCGACATAGTCCGCTCTACCTGCAGCGCGGCTGCATTAAGTATCGTAGACTTGTCCGCCTTGGTGTACGGGAGCATTGCTGCAATAAGGGCACACCAAACAAAGTCAGTTCGCTAGGTTTCCAGTGCGTGTTGTCGTTCAACCTCCATCCACCTTCGCTACGTTTTGCTCGCATCATAAATTCGTCGACAATAGCAGTCTACGCAGGCCAGAGTCGTATCACAGTAAAGCACGTCGCAGGGCTACCGTTTCAGCACGTCCATTGCGTCAAAGGGTCGGTCGCTAGTGGAGTTTTCCTATTCCAGACAAAGGCACTACTGGTCCTTCTCTTACAGTTCGCTCATCTATCACCACCTATGGAGCCGAAGCGCTTTGAGGTTGACGAGGAAGAGCTCGGATGCAAGATCAGCAACGTGAAGCTGAGTGAAAAGTGCCGCTTGAAGGACGAAGGGAAGCCTGTTAAGGACGACGAATCTCGTGCGGCCCAAGCTCAAATTGGACTTTGAGGTCGAAAGAGAATGGAAGCAACTTCATGGTGCTGGGGTTGGCAAAATTGAGATTGCCAACATTCCTGGGCAAAGAGGTCTGCAAAGGTCTTACCATGTAAGAAAACAAGT